CTATCAATTTTTTATTTTTTTCTCTCTTCTCGGAGGGGAATGTTGTGGGGAGGAAAAGGCGAAATATGTCAAACGGTTGGTTTCATAAATTTTTTGATTGATGTTGACTGTGCTAATGGAAGGGTGTTATATGTAGGAGAAAAATCAAGTGCAGATTGAATCAGAGTGATTTCTATTTGAAAAAAGTGTGCCTGAGTGTATGTATGTGTGTGTGTGTGTGTGTTTGGCTATTTAATTTTTTTCGAGGAATATATATTAAAGGGCCAAGGTTAAGAATTGAAAGTGGGGGATTAAGAAATTTTTTTTCTTCTTTTTTTTTTGCACAATTATAATTAGAGGCCTTTTAGGAGATTATATTGTATGTGTGAGTGTGAGGGAAAAAAGGGGTCAAGAACTAATCTTTTAAAGCAGCGCGCCACTTTAGGAATGTATATAAAATTTTTGGCACTTTACTATAGATGTATATTTGGTGCGAAATAATTTTTTCTCTCTTTCATTTAGTACGAGAGGAATATTAAAATAAAAAAGAAGTGAAAGACGAAAAAAGGAAAGAAAAAAAAGAGATATAGAAGAAAATACAAATAGTAAAAGAAGAAAAGACAAACATAGTAAAAGAAGAAAATACAAATAGTAAAAGAAAAAAAAAGATAGAAAAAGAAAAAAAAAAAGAAAAATAGTAAAAAAAGGGAGAAAAAGAGACATGAGTCAAAAAATACATAAATCATTTAATAATGAATTATTCAATGGGGAAAAATGCAAACCGTGGAAACTAATCTCGAATATTAATGGTTGTCGTATATTTATGGTGAAACGAGGAGGGAAATTTTTTAGAAAATTTTTCCAATCATTAATCGAAGATAAAGATAACGATTATAAAGACTATATAGATAGAAAAAGAAGAAATTTTTTAAAAGACTTAGAATTTTTTTTTTTATTAAAAAGTATATGTTTTAATATGAATACTTACTAAATATTAGCGAACACTAATTTTTTTATTAATTTCTACTCTTGTGAAAATGAATAAGTGAACGTTAGTTTAAGTAAGAAAATATTTAAAGTGGTAAAAGTCCGTAATAGTCAGACATAAAATTCGGCGTTAGTAGTATAAGTAGTAAAAGCCAATTCCAGTCAGACGGAATTTTTTATTCGCAGACACAATTCTGGTATTATAGTAGTAAAAGACAGTTGCAGTCAGACAAGATTTTTACTCATGTAATTTTGTGAGTGGTAAAAGTAAAGTATAGTCAGACAAAGCTTTCGATTTGGTACGAACAGTAAGTAGTAGAAGTAAATTTTAGGGGGCGCATGATTATTCCTCAAATTTCAATTTCCTAATGTTCAAAACATCGAAATTCTTATCATCGAAACATCATTTCGCATAATTTTCAGTTTTCGAAATTTCATTCAACATAATTTTTAATTTATCGATTTATTCTTTATCCTATTATTTAAATAGTCGAATTGTTTTTTAATATAATTTTTAATATGTCGAAAATTTTTTTGACATACATTTTGTTTTTCCGAATGACTATTTGTCATAATTATTAATCCTCCGAATTGCCATTTAACATAACCTTCAAATCTTCGAAATGTCATATTTAAGAAATTTCATTTATCGAAATTTTATTTGTCATAATGTTCATTACTCGAATTATCAAGTGACATAAAACGCATTTACTCGAATTCTCATGTGACATAACCTTCAAATCTTCGAAATGTCATATTTAAGAAATTTCATTTATCGAAATTTTATTTGTCATAATTTTCGTTTATTCGAATAACCATTTAACATAAAATAATTTGAATGTTCTTTTATTTATTCAAAACAATTTTAATTGAATTCCTCGGATGAATTCAAATATTTTTAAATATTTCCATAAATTTAAATTATTTCCTAAAATTGTAATAAATTCTTCGAAACAATTCAACTATTTTTATAAATACAAAAATTCTTTGCAGGAATTAAATTATTTTTAATCGAATATTTAAATAAAATTACACGAAAGAATATAATTATTTTCAAAAATTTCCATAAAATACAATTTCAGCAAGAATTTAAAATTCTCTAAAAATAATTCAATTATTCTCTAAATATTTTTAAAAAATTCTATATAAAAATTAAATTACTTTCAATGCAAATTTTTAAATATATCCGTCAAAAAAAATTAAAAGAATTCAATTATTTTCACAAAATAATAAAATTATTGTGATGAATTCAATTATTTTGAATATACATGAAATTCTTTAAATAAATTCCATTATTTTCGAAACAACTTTAATTGAATTACTCGAACAAATTTCATTATTTTTAATTATTTCTTAAAATTTTAATAAATTTGTCGAAACATTTCAATTATTTTTATAAATAGTAAAATTCTTCGCAATAACTCAATCATTTTTATAAATATAGTAAAATCCTTTGCAGAAATTCAATTCTTTTTTAAAAAATTTTAATAGAATTCCTCGAAAGAATTGATTTATTTTCTAAAATTTTAATAAATTCTTCGGAGCAATTCAATTATTTTTGTAAATAGTAAAATTCTTCGCAAGAATTCAATTATTTTCAATACAATTTTAATAAAATTCTTCTTCATAAAATTCAATTGCTTTTAAAATTTTCAATTTAAAATTTAAAATTATTAAAGAAACTCCATTAGTTAAAGAAAAAGTCAAAGAAATTCTTCAAAAGAATTTAATTAGAATTTTTAAAAATTTTAATAAAATTTTCGCGAGAATTCAGTTATTTTCCTAAATAATAAAATTCTTTGAAGGAATTCTATTATTATCAAATTTTTTGATAAAATTCTTTGCAACAATTCGATGATTTTCAATATATTAATTTTAAAATTGAAAATATTTGAAAAGAAAAATTATAAAAAAGTTAAGAAACAAAAACGCAAACAACAACTAACTTCAAACTGCAAACAGATTACCGAAACATGTTCTTTATCATTATTAATAATTGCAAATTTTTAATAAATTTATTATTTTATCAACTAATTTTCAATTGATTTCGGATTTAGTATTATATTAAAATTAATTAATTATAAATAAATTTTGGAGTAATTTATTATTAATTATTCATAATCATATTAATTAATTATAAATCAATTTAATTTTGAATCAAATAATCAATTATTACTTTAATTGAATTTCCTGAAAAAATTTTGTTATTTTCAAATATTTCTATAAAATTCTTTACAACAATTTAATTATTTCTTAAAATTTTAATAAATTCTTCGAAACATTTTAATTTTTTTTATAAATAGTAAAATTCTTCGCAATAATTCAATTATTATTATGAAGGAATTTAATTATTTTCAAAACAATTTTAATTGAATTTCTCGGATGAATTCAAATATTTTTAAATGTTTTCATAAATTTCAATTATGTCCTAAAATTATAATAAATTCTTCGAAACAATTCAAATATTTTTATAAATAGTAAAATTCTTCGCAAGAATTCAATTATTTTCAATTCACTTTTAAGAAAATTCTTCTTAGTCGTAAAATCCAATTACTTTCAAAATTTTCAATTAAAATTATTAAAGAAACTCCATTAGTTTAAAATTTTAAATAAAGATAAATAATATATTATTATATTATTTTAAAATTTAAACAAACTTTTTAATATTATACATTACAGTAGTAAAAATCCTTTATAGCCAGACACTTTAAATTCTACTTTTAATTTCAATTTTCAAATTCTACTTCAAATTTTCCGACAATTTCTAAATTTTTTTAAAAATTTCCAGTCATCATTTGCTATATATGAAAACTTAACGAAAATTTGATTATTATTTTTCCTTCAATGAAATGTTCAATTAAACAAAAAAAAGAAAGAAAAAAGAAGAAGCCTTCTCAATCAACTGTCACTAAAAGAGTGAACCGTTTGATAAACATAATTTCCTAGCGAGTCGCTTCAATCGGTAAAAAAACTTCTTATCCGCTCAGGTGAACGTTCAATGCAGTTATCGTGTAAAGGCGCTGCCAGCAAATGCCACCAATAAAAATAGAAAACGAAATCTAAAAAAAACTCAAACAAGAAAAATAAAAATTAAATTAAATAATAAAATAACGTTTATACTAACACTGTTAGTAAATTACTAAAATGGGTTAAATTACTAAACATCGCTAAATTGCCAAAATATGCTAAATTACTAAAGTAGTATTCCAACGTTAGTAAATTATTACTAAAAGGCGTAAAATTACTCAAATACGGTAAATTACTAAAATACGTTAAATTACTAAAAGACATTAAATAATTGAAATAAAGTAAATTATTAAAATATTTTAGTAATTTACTATATTTCAGTTAAAATAAATTTAAAATTAATAAATTAATTTTTTAATTAAATTTAAAATAAATTTCATCAATAAAAGTAATGTATTACTTTTATTGCTAAAATTGACGAATACTTTTAATCGAATTGAAAAAAATTCCCAAAGAAATACTCAATCGTTTCTCAAATAAGTAAATTTATATAAAGAAAAATAAAAAAAAAAGAAGAAAAAAAGAAATTAAAAAACGAAATGTTTATAAATTATTACAAAAATATTGGTTGTTAACGATAAAGAGTATAAATTACAAAAATGACAGCAATATCCTGTAACCCATTCCGGGGTCACCTTCCACACTCTCACGCAATTATATAAATAATAAATCGTAATTTACATTTCCTCAAAAATTATTCCGACTCTAAATAATTAAAAACTTATTTTCATCTTTTTTTATTTAATTTCTTATAAAAATAAAGAAAAAAAATAATTTTTTTTGAATCAACGATCGGTAAAACGGAACTACCCCACTCCCTTAAAATCCATCGCGTCACTGTACCACGCAGCTTTCCACCATTTTACCAGGAGAAGTGAGAGAAACCAGAAAGAGTAAGAGAGAGAGAGAGTGGCTTTCCACCATTATACACTAGGAGAAGTGAGAGAAGGAGAAAGAGAGAGAGAGAGAGAAAGAGAGTGGGGAGAGGGGAAAGTCTATAGGCTATCTTATAATACGCGAAGGAAAGATATGGGCTTTTTGGTTCTTGGTTTTTACAAGAGAAAGGAGAGGGAAGACGAGGGCCACGAGTAATTGCACATTCTATATCCTCCTGACTTCACGTCGATTTGTGTCTGACTGAACTTGCTTCTTGCCAATTACTATACAGTCAGTGAAGAAGAAAAAAAAAAAATTTATATTTCCCTTTCGAAAAACGAAAAAAAAAATCAGTTCGCGCTCCTTCCTCTTTTGTCGGCAATTTTTTTTCTTCCCTAAAATCTCTCTCTCTCTCAAAAAAAAAAAAAAAAACAGTGACAAAAGAAAAAAATTTTTCTACTTTTCCGGCTCCTCCCGGTTTGTGTGTGTGTGTACCTTCCGTACATCCCCCATGCGTTCGTGACAGCTGTCATCATCTCTACGCGTGCAATGATGCGCGACTTCGATTGATTCAGTGTCTGTGCTCCGGTGCGCGCACCTCTTTCACCAAATTTCGTTTTCTCAGTTTCTTTTTGTTTTTCCAATTTTTTTTTCCTCTTTCTTTTTTGGAAAATTCGTCTTTTTAATATACATGGACCGGGCAAAGTTTAGTGTGCTAATAAAATTTTCCGAAGAAATAACTAATTTTAGGGGGGAAGAAGAAAAATCTTGATTGGAAGAAAAAAAAGAAGAAAAGTGTGACAATTGTTTAAAATAATTAATTAAAAATAAAAGGAATTGTGTAATTCAAGTTATTTCACAGTGGCTACCTGGCACAAGGTGAGTCTCACTGCGGGTGCTCTGCACTTGACTTTGAATCTTTCAATGAAAATAGTTCAAATTCTCCAACCGAGAAATTTCTCTTATTATAATAACTGTATTTTATTATAATTAGAAAAAGAAAATATATAGACTTTTTGTCAAAATTTCTCGTTTTTCGTTAAAAAGTATTTTTTTTCGTTTGGTGAAAATTTTTACGTTTTAAGTGAAATTTTTATTCATTTATTTAACGGACGAATGTAAAATAACTTTTATTTCCTTTCATTATTTATTTTACTTTCATTATTTTCCTAAAATAAATATTTACACTACACAAATATTTATAATTATTTCTTTCAATCTGTCACAGGTTTCAAAGAAACCCTTTTGTTATTATATTAAATAATAAATATTTTTATAACTGTAAATAAATATTAAGAGTAAATAACCACTTTTTAGTTTCTTTAATTATTTACAAACTTAAAATATATGAACATTTACATATTTAATAAATATTTTGAGTAAATAAGTAATTTTTTTTTTTTTTTAAATTTTTTACAGTAAATAAATATTTAAGATAAATAAATACTTACAGTAAATAAACATTTACAGTTTATAAATATTTTAAATAAATAAAATTACTTATAGTAAATAAAAATTTACGGTAAATATTAAGAAATATTAATATTTAGAATAAATAAATACTTATACAGTAAATAAGCTTTTACAACAAATAAAAATTTACAAATAATTAACAAAAAAATATTGAAGGTAAATACATAATTATAGTAAATAAATACTTACAGTAAATAAACACTTACAATAAACAAATATTTACAATAAATTAACATTTACGATTTAATAAATATTTCGAGTAAATAACTTACCTACAGTAAATAAATATTTAGAGTAAAACTTTTAGTAATAAAAAAAAATAGAAAAAAACTAAAACTTTAGTAATAAAAAATTCTAAACAAAGTATAAAAATAGTTTACCAATAAAATAAGAGTTTTGAATTTTTATGTTAATAATGGCCAATTTGTACGTTAAACATAGATAGGTATGTGTAAAATTCGATAAATAAATTATGCATTATGCAAATTTGTTTATCAAACGTTATTTGATTAATCATTTTAATACTGTACAAAATTATATGCGCGTGATAACTAATTAATTGTAAAAGATTATCAGTTAATCTCGTTAATAAGACGCAATTAACAAATTACTGTTTAATGCCATTTATTATTTATTGTCCGGAAGCAAATTATTATTTATCGTCATATCCGATTATTCTTTCAAAACGTTTAAAATTATAGTACAAAAATTGTAAAAAATTGTAATTTAGTACAAGGTTTATTAATCCTAGTATTTTTTTTTCTACTGATTTAGAAATTGTTTAATATAAGTAATATTAACTGACTTGTGTAAAAATTATTATGACAAAAGATAATAATAAAAATAATAATAAAAATAATAATAAAAATAATAATAACAATAAAAATAATAATAATAAAACTAATAAAATAATAGTAATAATAATATAATAATAGTGATATAATAACAGCAAGAACAATATGTTCCTATTAACTAATGTAACAATTTTTCTGTTTCTGCAATAAAAATTTATGAATGACATTTTTTTAAGAGCAGGTGTTACATAAAAGTAACACAAATTTCAATCTTACATTTTGCAATTATTTTAATAGCACATGTTTCAGTAAAAAATTTTTAATTCGTTTACATTTACATTTTTACCACTTAAATATTTATTTATTTATTTATTTAAAAGACATTTAAAGTATTTACTTATTTAAAAGGCATTTAAAAGAATTTATTTATTTAAAAAAACATTCAAAAGTATTTATTTATTTAAAAAATATTCGAAAATATTTATTTATTTATATTTATTAATTATTTATATTATAATTATTTTAATTAGATAATTATGAGAATTAAAATTTTAAATTTTAATAAATTATACTTATTAATTACTACACGAATTTACTCATTTATTTAAGAACAAAAATTATTTTTACTTCAATCAAGTAATATTTTATTTTAGCTTCTCTACTATTAATTTTTAATAAAATAATATTTTGCAAAAAGAAAAGAAAATTTTGTTAAAAATAATTATTCGACAGTCATATATATTTATGAAATAAAAAAAAAATAAAAAAATATTTACAGTTAATAATTAAGTAGTAAGTAATAAAAATAAATAATAATGATAATAAGTAATGATTATAATAATAAATGAATACAATAAAAAATAAACGAATGATTATAATAAAAAATAAATAAATTTAATAAAAAATAAATGAATAGCAATAAATAATATATAATTAACAAATAATAATAACGCACAGAATAATAATTCACTACTGATTCATTCACTAAGAATCGATATATTAAAAATTTATTAAAAATATTTAGTCAAAATTAAATTAAATGAAAATTTTAATTAAATGCTAATTAAATTAAAATTTAATTAAAATTTTAATTTTAAATTAATAAGATTTGATTTTGAATAAAATTTATTTTTTACTTTTATTGAATAAAATTTAGCCGCATGTTAAATAATTAGTAGTTTCTATTAGTTGAATCAGTTAAAAAAAACTCTCCTATTTATTAATAAATAAACTCCTTATTTTAAAAAATGTATGAAAAATAAATAAAATACAAATATTATTCACTTGTAATTTTTTTTGTATAAAATGCGAACGGGAAGTCTAAAATTTCTACAGTTTAAATATGTCGTAACACTTAGATTTCACTTGACACTACTTTAGTCATGTATCTCGATTTCTTTCAGTATCGAACTTCAATATGCGTCTTTAATTTTAAATAAAAAAGTTTCTAAAGCTTAAAAACTTTCAATCAATTACTTTCACAGTATTTTCATACGTTTAATACTGTATAATTATTTATATTTATAAATTCGTTAAAACATCCTGTATAGTAAAATTTATATTTATTAATATAATTAAAATTATATAATTGAAATTATAATAATAAATAAATTATTATAATAAATAAATAAATTGTAATTTAAATTATAACAATAAATTATGATATAACAAATAACAACATTAAATTATAAAAAAATTAATTATAATAATAAGTTGTAATAATAAATAATAATAATTTAAAAATATAATTAAAAATACTAAATAATATAAATTAGATAAAAAAAATTAATTCTTTACAAATTATTATACACACCAATTCAACAAATAGTGAAAATAATAATAATTGAAAAAAATAATTCGAACTGTGAAGTACCTACTGTATAATATTTCATAAAGTTATAATATCAAAGGTTAAAGAGAAAAGTTAATATAATTAGTATCACATAAGAATTTTTTATTTTTGCCAAAGAAAAAAAAACCAACTGAATAAACTTTATTGCGTCATAAAACATTTTAGTAAATGTAGCAGGTGACGATAATGTATATACCACCTAATCTTTTATAAGTTTACCTCGTTAACAAGAAAAAAAAACTGGCTTCTAAGCTTCGATAGTATGAAAAAAAAAGAATTTTAAATAAACACTTTATACATAGCACAGGCAAGTGTGATTACTAAACAATTTAACAAGTGATGAAACATTGTTTTAAAAATTTATCACGCGAAATAATTTAATTTATTAATACTCACTGTCAATTATTAATCATACTAATTATTATAAATTTTTATTAATTTTTATTACTTTTCGTTAATAAATTAAAATCTCAGTTTTCTTTTAAGAACGCGTCAAAAAGAATAGAAATTTAATGATTAAATAATTGCAATAATAATAATTATTATAAATATATTATTAGTTAACTAATTAGTTTTAACTAATTAATCAGTTAGTTTTAGTTTTTTAATTAGTTAGTCAATTAATTAATCCTACAAATGATTCAATAATAATATTTAATTCAATATTAATTTTAATCCTATGAATAATTTAATAAGAATATTTAATTAATTTTTCAATGTAAGAAGAATTAAATTTTCAAGAATATTTATCAACTAAAAAAATATTTTTTTATATATTTATATATATATATACGTTTATACGAATAAATAAATAAATAAAAATAAATAATAATATTAAAATTATTATTATTATTATTATTATAAAGTAATTTTACAAATAATTCAACAATAATATTTAATTTAATATCAATTTAATTACTTAAATTAAACAAATATTAATAATAACTTACGTTTCAATCCTGTTTCTATCGACTTTCTTAATAATTGAAAATCTGGATAGAATCTGTAACAAAAAAAAAAAGAAATTTACAATTTGTTACTTATAATAAAAATAAAACTAAAAATAATAACAAAGAAATAGTTAATATTAATAAATAAATTAATTTATTATTAATTATTATAATGAAATATAAATAAATAATTATCATCACTTGATTTGACGTAAAGCAAACTTTTAAAGGTTATGTTTACACGTCTACCCTAAATAAAAGATACTTTTTTAATTTTGTAAAATAAAAAAAAAAATTTTTATTGAATATTTTAAATGTAACAAAAGGCTTGAATATAAATAGTTTGTATTAGGAGTTAACCCACTTTATGAATTTTCACTTTAAACATAACAAACATAACCTATAAATTTTTGCTTCTTAGGTCAATATTAAATTATTGTTTTAAACAATATATTTATTAAATAAATGAATAACAATATAAATGCAATCCTTCCTCTATATATAAGGAAGCAATAAAAATATATTTAATAATATAACACATTCTATAATAATTTGTTACTTTAATAAAATTTAATATTAATTAAATATTATTAAATTATTATAAATTTTTTAAATTAATCAAATTAATTACATTAAAACATAATTAATTCTCTTAACGACAGTTTATTTTCATTTTAAATTGGGACAAAGTGGACTTATAAATTTTTGCAAAATAATTCCCCAAAAGTCAATACTAATAAAAATTGTGACCCATTTTTCTCTTTTTTTTCAGAAAATAATCATCGTGGGAAATAGAGGAAATTAACGTGAAAAAATGTATGATCAAAAGGATGAGGAAAAGGCATCCTTTGGTGTCGACATCCTCAACCCCTTTGTACATCGTTTGGAGCTTGACACGACCTACGACAAACTCAAGGTTAGCGAGCAAATTTTTTTTTTTTTTTTTTGCTTTTTTAAAATTAGTTTGACTCTAGTTATAACAATTAATGAACCAAATCTCTCTCTCTCTCTCTCTCTCTCTCTTGGTTTTATTTAAATACATAAAAATAAATAATCGATATTAAATTATAGACTGTTGAAATTATTAGAAAGTGTAGTACGATTTTAAATGACATTCCTTTGCCAGATGAAAATAGTATTCAAGAGTGTCGTATGTTAATAAATTTTTAAACGAAAATCAATGCAAAAATTTCTACATACAGGCAAATTGGCATCTAATTAAAAAAAAAGTTATTCTTTAGTCTCTGCTTTCGGAAAATATTTCTAAATATAGTAATTTTGTTCTCATTTTCTTTTCTTTCTTTCATTCTCTCTTTCTTTCTTTCTTTTTTTCTAGTATCTTTCTTGTTGAATTTTTTTAGTTCTTTTTCTAATTTTCCTTCTAGTGAAGAATTCAATTTCATTAAATAAATTAATAACGTAATTAATTAATTAATTAATAGATACCTAAGAGATGCACTTATTTGATTAGTAATAGAAGAAGAAATTTATACTTTTTTTAAAATTTAATTAACCAAATTAATCTATTTAATTATTTCACAGAAAAAGTGGAAAAAACCAACTGCTACAAATTTCCCTATATTAACAAAATTTTTAGTTGCTTCAGTTAAGACTTTTGCTATTCTAGAGAAACTTATTGCTGTTTCCGGTGAAATTTTTTTTCCTTAAATTAATTTAATTAATTTAATTAATTAAAAATGTATATAATTAATTGGATTAATTTTATTATTTGTGACGCGATCTGAAGAAAGGGACCTTAGAAGCAAATCACTTTAAGGTTGGGTTAGAGTTACTTTTTTCTTGTTTGAAAGTTTCTTTTTATTTATTTCGAATTAAAATCAGTGTTTATTAAATATTTTAGTTGTAATGAAGACTTAAACATCAATGATTTATATTGACAGTTGATCCCTTTTTTGTATTTTCATTTAAAAAATTGAAAACATAACCTATAATTTTTTGCTTCTAAGGTCCCTTTCTTCAGATCGCGTCACATTTATTTCTTTTAATTATAATTTTATAATATTATAATTATTTTATTTAATTGAATTCCCTTTGATTGAAATTTAATGCCCTTTAATTTAAATTCAAATTTAATTTAATTAACCAAATTCATTTATTTCATTAATAATCTATTTCATTATTAATCTATTAAAGACTTACTGCAATCTATTTCATATTCTTTCACAGTAAAATGTGAAAAAATTTTCACTTTTTATGAATCAAAAGAATGTAAATTAAATTCTAAAAAAAAATTGACTCAAATATTAATAATAAATAATTTTACTTCAATTTTTCAATTAATAATTTTTTTTTACTATGCGTGCTAAAATAATTATTTTTCTTTAAAAACAGAAACAATATAAATCCAAAGATTATTATAAATATTTATCCAATCTTTTATTTACTGAGACAAATTTACATGAATGACAATAATCGACTCAAAAAGAAAAAAAATATGTACATCCATTAAAAGATTATTCCACAGAAATTCCAGAGTTGATTTTTTTTTAAAAAAGCTTCAGGGCACTTACGCTTTATTGAATTTCGAAGACCCACAATCTTATTATTTCAATTCAAAGTAAATCTCTTAACAATTTTTCTGTCCTTGACAGATTACGAAACAAGTGAAGGAGAATGGTCTATTTTTCTTTTTAGAGTAAATTAAATAAAAATTTTACGAAGACAGAGAGAAAGAGAGAGAGAGAGAGAGATAGAAAATAACAATAATCGTGAAACAATTATTTAAATTAAATCATCATAATATTCAATTTCACAAAAAGGAGTAAAATTGTAATTCGTCTAGTCTAGGTAATCGGCATTTTTTTCTATCCTTAAACTGATATTTCCAAATTGTTAGTAGAGTTAATTTTTGGAGCAACAATACAAAAATTTGATCTTGCAATTATTTTAATGATAAGAGTTTTTTTTATTAAATGTAAAATTTTAGACACTGAAAAAAATCATTTGGTTTAAATAAAGTTTTTATTGACTCAAATAAATTACATTTTTTTTTAAAATAAAACATTTTGTTTTGTGTTTTTCATTATCGAAAGAAATATTTACTTCAATTAAATAATTTTTTTTTTTAAATCATAGACATTGCTTTTGAATAAATAATTTCAGTAATTGTATCAAACACCATTTAATTGATTAAAAAAAATTATTTGATACAAATAAATATTTATTATATACAGATAAACATTTATTTGATAAAAATAAATTTTTACTTGATACAATTAATTATTATTTATTTGATAATAGACAAGAAATCGTTTATTTGAATCAAATACATTTTTCTTCAGTGTATAAAATTTAATTATTTTTACAGAATTCAAAAGCAAATTATTTTCAAAATTAAAAATCAAGAATCATTGAATATAATTTTAAAAAACGATTTTTCATTTCGAATAAAAAGTATGGCAAATAATAATAAAATAATAATATGTAATAATAATTAAAAAATATATCGGGTACTTGATTTATAAATAAATAAATATAACAAGCTATTTTTATCGTGCATCGAAAAAACCATCAAACTTGTTCCATTTTCGTCGCAAAAACTTGAAAAACAAAACAAATTTTTTTTTTTTTACATAATTCCCTGTTCATTACAGTAAGTTAATAAATTTTAAATGATAACAAATGTTGCAAAAAAACAGAAAAAATTACGAATAATAATATAGCATTACACGCATCTATATTTGCCTGAATTCCAAAAGAAATTCATGAAATTCTTTACAAGTAAACACATAAAATTATGAAAAGTATAAACATAAATTTTTCAGAGAAAGGTATAAATATATATATCTATACTTTGAGGCTTTCACAAATGAATTCGTACACCTATATATATATACATACACATATATTAATTATATAAATGTATAAACTAAAATGTATAATAAAAGTGTTACGACTGTGTTTGTGTGTTTGGTGGGGGGAAATGTGAGTCTCGACAGTAACCTCGATCTTCAGAGAGGGCTATGTTAGTAAGGCAACGTATATACGGATATTTGCGAGACAAACGTGTGTCCTATACAAGAAATGTGTGTATTAGTGAATCGATGCCACAGATGAGAAAATAACGGAACGACTGTACGGTACTTGGGTACACGGCTAGATCTCCTTTCAGCCCAGATATCTCAAAAAAGAGAAGAGAGAACAAGAAAAAAGAATGAGGAGAGGAGAGGAGAGGAGAGGAGAAAAAATCTATATTCGAAGCAAATCTTTAGCGGGTCAATGAATGGAAATCACTATACACTGTATAGTACAATTATTACTATACTGGTATATCATTACTTTATACACAGTATGAAATACTCTCTAAATCCGAATTTTAGTAACAAACAAAAAAATTGATAGTAAAATTTCAGTTCACATTTACTTTAGGATCTAATAAACAATAACTAATTATTGGTGCACTACCGGTCAAAATTGAGAGACCACCCATTTTTCAGATGATTGAAAAACATTTTAAAACACAAAATGTATACGGAAACTAAAATTTTTTTCTTTTTATTTTTTGAAAGATGATAAAATTTTTATCACCTATCATATTTTTTTACAAGATCTTTTAGAAGTCATTTAGCAAATATTTTATTTACATATTTTTAAAAAATCGTGTCATTTTCAATGTTTTACAAAAATTTGAATAAAATAATTAACGCTTTTTAATGATCCTAGGCTTATTTTAAAGGTAATTTGCTACACTATAAAAATTACTTATAGGCATTAACGTGTAATTTTTTTCTTAGAATATGCAGGCCGTCAAACTTGGACCAAAAGAATTTGAAAAATTTGAAACAATTTTTCTGTACTAAAAACTATTCTAGAAAATATAAAACATCATATAGTGTATAGATGTTTCAAGAAAATTTAATAAAAAGAATACGTTTGAATTTTAAAAATTATTTTTCTGTTAATAAGATTGTTTCAAATTTTTTGAATTTTTTTTAATCCAAGTAATTCTTATAGTGTAGCAAATGACCTTTAAAATAAGTCTAAGATCATTAAAAAGTTTTCATTATTTTAGAAGTTATTCAAATTTTTGTAAAACATTGAAAATGACGATTTTTTTAAAATATCTAAATAAAATATTGGCCAAATGACTTCTGAAATATCTTGTTCTTTTCAAAATTTTATCATCTTTCGAAAAATGAACATAAAAAAATTTTAGCTTCAATAAATTTTATGTTTTAAAACATTTTTCATTCGCCTGAAAATAGATGGTCTCTCAATTTAGACCAGTAGTGTAGCAAATAAAAAATTAATTACAAGTAGAAAATAATTCATCTTTAGTATAAAATATGACCAATTTTTAAAAGAAAATAACTAATTATTGGTAGAAACTAACTAATTAATTTTTAGTAGAAAATTACTAATTATTGGTGGAAAATAACTAATTATTGGTAGAAACTAATTAATTAATTAATTAATAATAGAAAATTACTAATTATTAATAAATATAAAAATGACTAATTGATAGTAAAATATTGACTGACTGTTTGCTGCAGCAATTATTAAACATAATAACTATGTATTAATAGAAAATAAATAAATTAATTAACTATTAGGGGAGAGTCTCCAGTTGTGAGACACCTCCAGTTGTGAGACAGTCAATTTTTTTTAACATGTAATATTAAAAAGCCGATTGGTTTATATAAAAACATTTCATTTTATATGAGCCAACTTTTTCGTGTACGCCGAAGCGGATATATAAACTGTTTTTGTTAAATACCAACACTGTGTGTGATAATCGACTAAAAAGCGTTTTTTCAATAAATGCAAAGTACTTTTTTCCAAGTTAATTAATTGGAAAAGGTAAATGTAATGCATTTTCTTTTAGTGTTTTCCTTATATTTTGTGATGCAATATTGCATTGTTCCAATCTACGGTTGAAAATAATTTAATTTTCCTTTTTCAAAATAGCGCCAATTTCTGGGTGTGAGACACAGCATATCACCAGTTGTGAGACGGTGTCAACACCCATCTGGGCAGCATAAAAAATACTACTTTGCAGGCATACTATTTAAATGTTGTTTTCATTTTTTTTCTAGTATTTTTGGGCATGTCAAGTGGAAAAAAGTCAATTAATTCAGAAGAAATCAATTATAATGCTCTTGTTGAAGCTATTTAATTATGTTTATTTGATAGTCATATTTGGGCGAATAAATATTATTATTTAGTATATAATAATATATATTATTAATATATTTAATTATTCATACTAAACATAACGTTTTATGTCAAACTTATTAAATTTTAGCAATTTTTAATGAGTGTCTCACAACTGGAGACATTTTTTTTTTTTGAAAAAAGCGATGTGCTCGGAAAATGTATCGTAAAATTTTTTGAGTTCATCGAAACACTACACTTTCTTTTAATAAAAGTTGCGTATTTCTGTTACCTTTCGAACGGTGTATTTTATTTACAATTTCGTTTACCCGTTTACAATTTACGGGTCAAAAATAAAACCCGTCTCACAACTGGAGACTCTCCCCTAACTATAATAATTTGAATGTTCTTTCATTCATTCACTTTTTCTGTCCCTCACACTCTGAAGTTGTCTTTTGTTTATACTTTTGTTTTTTGTTAACTTTAGATAAATTGTATATTATGTCATTATTATTTTTATTTTATAATTAATTAAAAATTGCAATAACAAATAGAAATCATCAGAATTTTTTTCACTTCTAAACGACAAAAATTTTGTTAAATATTATGTTTTGTCATATTGAAATCATGCAGATTTTTGTTCTTTATTACTTGTAAACAAAATTAGAAAATTGTTAAACAACTGTGATTGAGAAATAGAAAATTTATTTATTTTGCATTATTTTTCTTTATGAATCACAATTTTTTTTAACAAAATTATTATTTTGTTTTAGAAAAAGAAGAAAAATATTTGCACAATTTCTATTTTTAATTTTATTTTTGGAACAGGATTTTCTACAGGTATTAAGACATTCAAAAATTTCAAATTCAAACCTTTTTTAAATTAAACAACTTATAAAAGTATTTGTTAGAAAACATGAAGATATCGATTGCTCCGAGTCGAAGACTCGGAGTGATCGATTTCTTCATGTTTTATAATAAATTAAAGATGACCGAGAGATAAAATCATTATTTTACATTATAAGAATATTGTAACTGTAACTTCATCAAAATTATTTTCATCATTTTAATTCAATTATTATTTTCTAGAATTTTAAATTATTAAATAATTAAATGTTTGCATACAATTTTTAAAAAACTTTTATAAATAATAGAATTCTTTTTGGGAAACTTTATTTAAATAGTATCTATTGAAAATCATTGAAATTAGAAAAATGCATTTTATTTTTGAAAATAATTGAAATTAAGACAAGAATTTTTTTGACATTTTTGAAAATAATTGAACTTTGGAGAAGAATTTTGTTATTTATAAAAAATAATTGGGATTTTTACGAGAATTTTTTTTAAATTTCGAATATAGTTTAATTTTATAAGAAGAATTTTATTTTTTTGTTGAAAATAATTAAATTTCTGCAATTATTTGTAATTTTTTCAAAATTAAATTTTTTGAGTGTTTTCAACAAAAATTTAAATTAGAGAATTTTTAAATTCTATTATTTTTAAAATTTGCTAATTTTTTTTTTTAAAAAAAGGTAGTAAGAAGTTAGCCGCGCGAATTGTTACTAGTAATTAATTATTGTTAGAGTATAAACTAGTTATAAGCACAAAATAATTAATTAACTAACATTACAAAAATAATTTATTATCCGAAAATAATGAATTATTTTTTTACTAATACTACTATTTAATAGCAGAAAATAACGAAATAATTAATAGTAGAACATATTTAATTTTCTACCAATAATTGGTTATTTCATTATTAGAAGGAATTTATTATTATAGTAGAAAATAATTAGTTTTCTATAAATAATTAGTTATTTTAATATTAGTTATTATTATTGGTAGAAACTAATTAATTACTAGGAGAAAACAATTAATTATTAGTTAAACATAATTACAGTCTTTGCACTCGATAATTAATTTTAAAAAAGTAGCAAAAAGTAGCATTCAAACTAAAAAAAAAGTAGTAAAAAAGTAGCTATCGAAAAATTAAACTTGACGACCAAAAAAAGTCATTTTATTCACTTCACAAAACTGACAAAAATTCCATTCTATATTTTATTTTTCTGACTTTTTCCAAATTTTCATCAAAAATATTGACTTCTTTCATATCCTAATGCTAATAAATTGAATTCCTACAACGAATTTTATTATTCATCAAAGAATTTAAATATTTAAAAAAATAATTTAATTCTTGAGAGGAATTTTATAAAAAATTTTAATTAATTGATTTTATTTTGACTAATTTTTATGCAAATTCTAATTAAAATAATTGGATTCCTGAGAATTTTTTATTATTTACGAAAAGTTTTTAATTCTTACAAAGATTTTTACAATAAATTTTTTAAATAATTGAATTCTGTTTGGAAATTTTATGAAAATAGTAGATATTGAAAATCACTGAATTGCGAAAAGTTTTTAAAAATAATTAAATTTTACAAAGAATTCTACTGAAATTTTTGAAAATAATTGAATGTCTATGTGGCATTTTAATAAATTTTTTTGAAAATAATTGAATTCATAAAAAGCATTTTATTATTTATGAAAATAATTGAATTCTTGCGAACGATTTTATTAGAATTTTTTAAAATAATTGATTTTCCAAGAAAAAATTCAGTTACTTTTAAAAATAATTGAATTCTTGTGATGAATATTGTTATTTATGAAAACAATTGAATTTTGCAAAGAATTTTATTAAAATGACTCAAAATAATTGAATTTTCGGGAATAATTTTGTTATTTATCTTTAATAATTAAATTCTTTTGAAGAATTATTTATGCGTAAATAATTGAATTCTTGGGAATAATTTTATTAAAATCTAAAAGAATAATTGAATTATTTCAAAAAAAAAAAATTTAATTAAAATTGTATTTAAAATAATTGATTTCTATCGAACAATTTTATTAAAATATTTCAAAACGAAATCAGTATAGAAAAAATTGCATTCATTTAAAAGATATTTAAATAAAAATCTAAATCAGAAACAAAAGTTATTGAATTTTTCCTGCTATAATTTATATATTTCTTAATTAGTATTGAAATATAATTTTTAGTCAGTTAATATAGTGCGGATATAATTAATTGACTACCGGATTGGAGGAATTTTACAGTGAGAAACGTTCCCTTTGCGCTTTCTCTGCTAAAGACATTGTTTCATCGTGAGTGTAAAATTTCGCTTACTACATGAGAATCAGTGAAAGGCGCAACAATGAACTGTTCCAACAGTCCCGGTGGACATTATTGTCCATTGAGAAGATCAATATCTTCTCACTCGAGCGAGATTTCCATATTGGAAATTTTCTAATCTGGCACATTTTGACAATGACGAAATTATTTTTTCTTTTCTTCAAAATTAAAAGTATTTTAGTTATTATTTAGAGTTATAATAATTTTTTGCCATTTTTTTTTAATGCAGATTAACAGTATTTCAGTTATTCTTTAAATTTGCAAATATTTCTTTTCATTTTTATAATTGTAAATAATTTTTGTATTGTTTATGGTATTTTTATTTGTGTTTATAGATGTAAATATTTTTAAATCTATACACAAAAATGACAAAAAATTATTTGTAAATCTAAAATAAAACGAAAATATTTTTTAATCTGTAAAAAATGACAATAATAATTATTTGTGACTCTAGAAAGAGACTAAAATAATTTTGGGCTGCAAAATAATGTCAAAAATTGTTTGTAAATAAAACTAAAATATTGTTGGTTTACAAAAAAGAGGATTTTAAAATTTTTTTATAATTCGGTATTATTTACCAAAATCAAAAATGCTTCTATTAGAAATATTTTTGATTTGGGCAAATAATAATACCTAATAAGAAATGTAACTCTAAATAGTGACAATAATTATTTTTTATTGCAAATAATAAACTATTTGTGTCTACAAAAATGTAAAGACAAAAAAAAAATATTTATAGCCACGAATTTTGAAATTTATTAAAATATAATTATTTTTTTTTTAAAAAATGTTTCAGACGGCGTTTCTCACAGTGGCCTTACTGCCATTTAGGCTAGCAGCAATAACAGCCTTAGTAATAATGGCCTGGTTACTGGCTTGCTTAGGATTACACGGTCTCTCCGAAGATGATCTTCGAAGAGCTCCACTACAAGGCTGGAGACGGTAAGTGCCTTATTCAATTGTTTCCTTTTCTTAAATTCCCATAAACCCCTAGATATAAAAAATCTAAACAGAAATTACTAACTAAAAATCTAAAAAATACTATGCATCAAAAAGATTTATATCTATAAAATGATGATACATGATAAACATGTGTTATACAGAATTACAGATGGTAATTTTTAGATTTTACCTTCACAGAGAATTTTTCAAACAAAACCAATAATTTAACTTAGTAACATAGTTACTAAATTCAATTGTGCTCAAAAATTTTTAAAAATTCTCGTCAAAATTTCAATTCTCTTTATAAATAATAAAATTCTTCTCTGATATTGAATTATTTTATAAAATTTTAGTCAAATTCTTGTCAAAATTTAAATTATTTTCAAAAGTTTTCTAAAATTCAATGATTTTCAATATACACTATTTCAATAAAATTTTCCAAAAGAATTCCATTATTAAAAAAAATTTTGATAAAATTCTACGCAAACATTAAATTATTTTCATAAATAATAAAATTTTTTACAGGAATTCAATTATTTACAAATTTTTTTTATAAATTTCTTCGCAATAATTCAATTATTTACATAAATATAATAACATTTTTACAGGGATTCAATTATTTTTATAAAAAATATAATTCTTTTAGGAATTCAATTATTTTCATAAATAATAAAACTCATTGCAGCATTTCCATTATTTTTAATGCAATTTTAATCGAATTCCTCGAAAAATGTAATTATTCCTAAAAATTTTATTAAAATTCGTCCAAAGAATTTAATGATTTAAAAAATTGGTTCATAACATTTTTTATGAGAATTTAATTTCAAGAAACATGAAATTAATAAATTATTTATTTTTGTATTTAAATAATTGAATTTTGGTAGAATTTACTAATTAAAAATGGTTTTGAAAAATGAATTTCAGTTAAAATTTTAGATTATAATTAAATATTAAAAGCATTATAACGTGGATTTTTATAGAAATAATTAAATTTTGAAAAAGTTTCTAATTAAAATCATTGAAATTCTTAATTTTTCATATTTTTGACAAACAATTCTGTAGAATTAATTCTTTTTAAAAGTTTAATAGGATTTTTATTGAAATTATTTCAAGTTCTTATTGTTCATTATATATTTAATTGCAGAATTTGCGAATAATTGAAATTTTGTAAAATTGAATTGGAAACAAATGAATTTGAAAATTGCTAAAGAACTTTTTCGAAAATTATTAAAAATAATTGATATAAAGTAAAATTGTAGTTAAAAATTTTTGAAAATAATAATTGAATTAAAATAATGAAAATAATTTTGAAAAAGTATAATATTCTTATAATATAAACTAATTATTTTATTACTTGGTCATCTTTAATTATTATAAAATATGAAGAAATCAATCACTCCGAGTCGAAGACTCGGAGTTATCGATATCTTCATGTTTTATAGTTATAAAAAAATTTAATGAACTAAAATTTCATTCATTGTAAAAAATAACACCAAAATTGATTATTTTAATCTTTTTTGGTGTTAATTTAATCTGCAACACTTTTTAATATCTCACGATTTACTGTGAAACTTATTTTAATATTTTTATTATATAAAGCATGATTCTTTTACGCGGAAAAAGCGAATAAAGTAACTTTTACTATACTTTTATTTTTTACCTAGTAAAATTTACTCTAAAAATAGTAAAATTTACTCTGGAAATAGTAAAAATTAACGGAAATGCGCTGAAGTTCCAGAAATCTTAGGTTTTACTTTGTTAATATAGTAAGAGTTACTTTACATATTTTTTTTCCTATGTTCATAAGTGTATAATTAATTTGGGCTTAATTTTGCACGATAATTAAGTATAATTACAAATTATGTAAATTTTCCAAAAGCGTTTCTTTAGTGTTGTATTTTTAGTCTATTTCCATTATTATTGCTTTATTTGTCGACTTCTTTCTTAACCTTCGCGCTACCAAAGATTTTTGTATACGCGGACTACCGGCTGGCCACACGGTGTGGCCAAACGCTATTTTACTTTAATGTTCCCAAAACAATTAAAATTCATCAAAGCTTTTGTATATAGTTATGTGTTAAGGGCATCCGGGAAATAATACTGGTTTCGTGATAGACGTCTCATTTGAAAAGAAAAGAATATTTTGAGTCGGGATTTTTTGGTAAATATAGAGAAATGCTCTGGGACCAGCGGTCCTCTCGGAATTTAGAGAAATTTTGATAAATAATTATTGAAAAAAATTGTTTAAATGTACGGAAAAAAGGGGTTTTGAACGGTTCAGTATAGACGTCTCATTTTGAGAGGATAAAATATTTCGGGTTCATATTTGGAGGGGTGATAGAGGAAGACTCTCCGAGGAGCGGCCCTCTCCGTTTTTGCAATAATTTTGCGAGGAAATTATTTTATTAACGATTGAAAGTGGAGTAATTTGAGGTTAATACATTTCCCTCAGTTCAACTCGCGGCCACTTCCGAGAATTGGCGCCACCTCCTTGACCACTGACACATCCCAATAGGAAATTTACAACTGGCGTAGTACTGCGCCAGCACTGGCAGCACTGGCGGCAAGGCTGAGAGCCAGCACTGGCATGGCACTGGGATGATAACGCCGTCTGGCGCTGCCGAAGTACTGTCTGTCAGTGCTGCCAGACAGCGCTGGCGCAGCACTGGACCAGTGCTGGCTGAGAATATTGCTGCAATAAATGCCGTATTGTTATTGATTAGTCGTAAATTCATAATTATAAATAATTTAACAACAAAATGGTAAATAATATTAATAAATAGTTATTATTCATAAAATATTTCTCTTCTTAAAGAAATTGTATTAAAGATGGTGACTAACAATGGATATAGTAAATGAAGTAGAAAAAAATTGTTTATAACATTTAAAAATTAAATAATAAACAATTACAGTAAGTGTGCATTAGATTTTCATATTTTAGTACCTAACGATTGGAATCTAGAAATATCGCAAACCTATGAAAATAAACAAAATTGCTGACGAGGGGAATCGAACCTACGACCTACGGACTAACAGACTAACGCTCTAACCACTATGCTAACGACACATGTGTACAGTGAAGTATTAACATCTCAGTATCATTCAGACATACAATTATTGAGTCAAAGATGAGAAAAAAATAGGGATACGTTAGAAATAATAAATTGAAGTAAAATAAGTTAAACTAAATTTTTAATAATTAAATTATTTTATTTATTGCATTTAACATTTTACGTAATTCTTAAATTGCGTGGTAATTTTTTAATAATTTTTTATTCATAGTAAGAAGTATAATAGTATTTTAATAGGAACCAAATTATTATTGAGATTAAAGTTTAAATTTTGTTTATAATTTTAATTTGTTTAAATAATTTATTATTTACAAAATTAGACAATTGTGTTAAATTGTTATTATTAAATTTAATAAGAATAAAAATGAACAACCAAAAAGTAAAATATTAATTTTTTTCAATAAATTTATATTTATAAACATTCATAAACTTTTTTTATAATTTTTTTCAAGTTTATGCCAAAAAAGCAATGTTGGCAAAGAGCGTCGTGAACAATTTTTCTATACTCAGCCAGCACTTGCCGCCGTGGCTTGTCCAAGCTCTGGCGAAACAAAAATTCTGTACTGCGCCAGCACTGATTGTCGAGGCTCGGCTAGACTACGCCGAACAATCGTCTGAGTACTAAGCCAGTGGTGAACATCGGCACTACACTGGCATTTCCCATTGGGATAGATCCACTTGTCTGTGTGCTCGCCGCCATATTGTCTCCCACTTTCGCCCAAAATCCAACTTTTGTAATTTCGTTTTTCAATATTTATTTCAAAAATTACTTGTAAATTTCGAGAATATTATTTATCATCATGAATTCCCCTACCCAACGGGAAGTTGCCAATGTTAACGATTGGTTCAATAATGGGCCATGCTTGGTACCCAATGGTTTTTTCTTGGCAAAACAATTGGCAACCATCATTGGACCACCAATGGTTTAAACTTGGGATGATCACGCTACTGCCAATGATCGGTAGCCAAGCATCGGGCCAATATTAGTTGCCAAGGAATTGCCAAGGAAACAAAATCGATTTTTAAAAGCTTGATTTTTTATTGGCAGCCAACAAAAAACCAAGGTTTTGAAAATTGATTTTTTTAAATTATTAATTAAAATATATTTTTCAAAAATTTATTTAAAAAAAAAAATATTTTTCAAAAATATATATTTTTTTTTAAATTGATAGAACATATTAATTTAATTTTTCACCTCTGGTAAAACAAAGATGAAAGACTGATAAATTCCCTCACTTTATATCTTACAGTGGAGGGATAACTGTGAATGTCTTTGCGAGAGAGGAGCAGGTACTTATATAGAGCCAGTGAAGCAGGTCACAAGCGAGAAGAAATCACTAGCATGCACTCTGGCGGCGCTTGTCGGAACTGTTTTCTGGCGCGCATGCATATCCTGACGTTATCGACACAGCGCTTGGCAACCAACGTTGCGCCACTTCCGACAAGCGCCGCCAGAGTGCATGCTAGTGATTTCTTCTCGCTTGTGACCTGTTTCACTGGCTCTATATAAGTACCTGCTCCTCTCTCGCAAAGACATTCACAGTTATCCCTCCACTGTAAGATATAAAGTGAGGGAATTTATCAGTCTTTCATCTTTGTTTTACCAGAGGTGACAAATTAAATTAATATGTTCTATCAATTAAAAAAAAAATATATATTTTTGAAAAATATTTTTTTTTTTAAAATAAATTTTTGAAAAATATATTTTAATTAATAATTTTAAAAAATCAATTTTCAAAACCTTGGTTTTTTGTTGGCTGCCAATAAAAAATCAAGCTTTTAAAAATCGATTTTGTTTCCTTGGCAATTCCTTGGCAACTAATATTGGCCCGATGCTTGGCTACCGATCATTGGCAGTAGCGTGATCATCCCAAGTTTAAACCATTGGTGGTCCAATGATGGTTGCCATTAATGTTCCAATAATGGAAC